TCACAAAGCAAATGTGAATTTTTAAGAAAGACCAGGCCTTTTTTTGCCATATCATATTCTTTTTTGGGTGGAATTGTTGCTGAAGCCTTATACTGATTGAATAATCCCATTATTAGATTTCTTTCTAAATATTTTCAATTAGTTAAATCTATTATGCCACGAATCGGATGCCCCCTAATTCATTTTAAATTATGTAATAAAACTACGCTTCTTATTATGTATTACTATTTTATTCATAAAATGGACCGAAACTATTGCACATTCAGTGGTCACCCAAATATAATGAGTATTCAAAAAGCAGACTTAAAGGAAACTAAAAACGTATAAATTTCGTGGTTCATATAAACCAAGGCTCAAATTATCTTATTTTATTTTACTAATTTATCAATGACTCGCATTACCAAGATTACTTGTTTCAACCTGTCTCTTATGATCTCCCCCCCATCTCCCGGCCCTTTGCCTTCCCCTCTTCTCCCTTTAAATGTCAGCCCAATTTAGTGGTTTTCGAGTCGAAGTGATTTCGCCTCAGCTTGGAACGATAATAGGCACAATTACGTCCGTGAGCGCAACCAAGATTGATCTATTAAATGCATCTGTAAATGATCAATCTCAAATAAAACACTATTCAATAGAGTACGCCATCTCATTTTATTTGTTTTCTTTTGGAATTTCAAGCTAACTAGTTGTGTCATTTTAGAAACAGGTTCATCACGCGTGTGCGCATTTTATCTACTGGCAAGGAGCGTCTTGAAGCTAAACCCTCAGTGAGAGATCAACGTAGGGAATTTCTCCGTAATATACCAAATACTCAAAACGCATATGTATGCCTCGAATCACCCCCACTGATTATTAAAACTCCTGGATGTCCAAGGGAAACTTGCTGTGGGTCTCCACCTTCAAAAAAGGATTTGGGATGCCTTAGGGTTACAGACAAGGCTGCTAAAAATTCCAGACGTAATCGATCTAACGGTAAACACACCAGAAGCAAATCCAGTAAGTTAAAGGAATGGTGCCATTCTACCTTCCATATTCCTTCAAAATATTTTCTCATTATTTATCACTTATTTCGCATAACTAAGTATTGATTATGGTTCGTTTCTTATAAACCTCTTTACATCTCACCCTACATACGCATATTTTTACACCTTAGCATCTGAGAGAATTCCGTCAAGCGATATCTCTGGCTGTGAAAGTGATCCGACTTTTAAAAATGGTCGAAATGAACAAATTCCGATTCATTCTAACATATCCGGACACAGGTCTAAATTCAACATTCGTCACAGAAGGAAAACAAATGATGTCGGATGGAGTAGTTTGTGCGTAGAAGATTTTCAAGATGAAGATTTTGACTTCGAGGGAAATCTTGCGAGATTCGATAAACAGGCATTTTACAACATGGTTGATGCTCACCAAGCTAAATCTTTGAAAGAGATTAAAGATAAAGAGTTGCTCGCTCCCGTCGATTTTTCGCTTTTTGAGGGTCCAGATGGTGTTGGACCTCCTTTGCTCGGT